ACCAAACTTTGGGGTAATGCATCCACACCTGAGGACAGAAGGGTGATCCAGGTTGACCTTTTGCTTCAGTTTCTGATATCTAACGTATCTGATGGGATGTTGGAACTTAATTCATGTCTCTGAGGCACTCTGAGATACATAAGCAAGTTGTGGTTGGTCTCTTTCTATTATACTAGGTCAGGGGTGGGAAAAATATGGCCCAGGGGCTATATCCGGCCCACCAGGCACTTTCATCCAGCCTATGGCTCCCCACAACAAGTTGTACCCTACCCAGCCTTTCCGTCTGCTAGGTGCCTACATCCACCCTCAACATACCTTGTTATGCCTCACTCCCACCCTTGTGGGCAGAAGGACCTGCCCCCACCCCCCCATCACCAGGTGGGGTTGCTGCTGCAAGCTTCCCTGGCTTCCCACTCCGTCTGGGCAGCAGGTAGGGAAGCTGGGGTGGCAGGGTTGGAGCTGGGCAGGAGTGTGGGGCTGGTGGCAATGTGGAGCCCATGCCCAGTGGGGCAGGGGCAGTACAGAGCTCAGCTGGGCAGGGTGTGGGTGTGAGGGAGGATGGGGGGTATGGGATCCCCTCCCACACTCCCCAAATGGTGTGCAGCCCTAACAGTGGGGGCAGCAGTAGGCAGGGTGCTCATGTTTGGCATTGGTACCTGGCACTGGTACCTGGCTCTGGCCAGCGCTGCACATCAGCCCCCACTGGGCTGTCTGTATGGGACGAAAGCCCCAGGCACTAGAGCCAGCTGGGGCAGGGAAGGCGCTGGCTCCAGCACCTGGGGCTTCTCTTTTGTGCCGTGCAAGTTGCTGGCACTCCCTGCATAGAGAGAGCTCAGCAGGGGCTGCACTCCTCACTGCAATGTGTAGCACTGGTCAGAGCCAGGCACCAGCGCCTCCACCTGCTGCTGTGCCATGAAGGGAGTGGGTGGAGGGGTGGTCCCCCCACCCCTCCCAGTGTTGCCTGCATTGACTGCAAGAGAGGACGATGTGTTCCAGAGACCAGTGTGTTCAAGAGCCACACCCCACAAACGCCATGTACCCTATGCCCCCTCACGTATTCCCCCATGCCCCATTGTATACACCCACACCCACTGTGCAATATAAAAGACTAAGAATTTATTTTTGAGGTATGCAGTCACCTCTATCTTCAGAACACAAATCATGACAAAATCTTTTTGTAATAAAATTAAAATATGTTATAGTAGGTGTTTGACTTCTAGTATATGACTTGTTTTCTTTGGGTTTTAAGTTGGCAACCCCCTTCCCCCCCCCCCCCCTTCCTCCCCCAGGAATATTTCGGAGGGGAAAGAGGGGCAAGGGGAGGATTTCTGGTTGCAAAGGTCAGGGGTTAGGGGTGTGACTTCTGGTCCCAAGATGGCAGCCAGGAAATGGGGCAATCATCAAGGGGTGGGGCTTCCCTTGCGGCTCTTGACAGGTCACCAAACCTCATTAAGTCACCCTCTGCCCAAAATAATTGCCCACCCCTGTACTAGGTAGAATACTATGGGGCTACAAGGAATGGGTTAGCTGTTGCTGGAAAGGGAACTGGGAACAACTTGCTGTAGGATCTTAATTCAACATTATTTAATGCTGTCATCTGATTTAGTCATTGAGAACACTGAACTTACTAGCTCCATGGCAGACAACATTTTGACAAAAATGGCAACCTGCTATGGAAGTTAGAATCTGTTGTACTGTAGTCACACTTTGAGATGCTACCTTAGAGTATGAGTCTTCTGCCTCTCAAGTCACGGAACTCCGTAAGCCTGTTATCAAGCATTTGGAGATGGGGATTCATTATGTGGAATTGTCTGAGGTGTCACCTTCCTTTTGTTGCCACTAGCATTTAAAGGCTGGCTGCTGTATTCAGTGTACCTGTTTCCCAAAAAGACTGAAAGGAGAGATGGCAGCCACCTTTGTTGGCAGGTCACTCAACAGCCACCTGGAGCATGCTACACTACCGTCTGCTTGAGGACATGTCTGTGATGTGTTTTTTCAGACCAACATGCAAGTAATTCCTGACATTGTACTTGAGCCCCAGCATCTCATGTGATGCATAAATCAAAATTGAAGGTATTGCTGGCATGAATGTTGCTTGCTAGCACCTTCAATGTCCTTAGAATGTCAATAACTGAATTTCATCTAAAGATGAACAAGCATACTAAATTCTTGTCATACAGATAAATGACTTCTAGATCAAAATTACTGAATTTATTTCTTTCCCTATCATGATGAACTTGACTTCAAGCCTTTGTACTGAATAAAATTCTCAGTTAGTCAAATTCAGATGTGTTTAAATTTAGTTTATTTACAAAGTTTACGAATGCTTAGAATAGTAGGAGATAGTTTTTTGTAACTATTTCACCTGTCTTCTTTTCTTAGGCTGATAAGTCCTACATGATACGAGAATACACATCTAGAGAAAGCAAAGTGTCAAGCTTAAAGGTATTAAATACATTTTTCACATGGACTAATTTTATTGTCTTATGATTGGTATAGGAAATGCCACACCAGATCAGAACTCTGCTTAGCGTGATGTCTTCAGGGAGGCAAAACTCTTCTGGCCAGTTGTGTAGTACTGTTTCATGATCAGTTAGTCTGTCATGCATAAGATCACATTACTCTTGTGAAGAGAAGTGGATTGAATGGGGAGACAGGTTCAATTACTGATGGAATTATTTAGCCACAACATAAGGTACTTCCAGTTTCTTGTGGCAATGAATTTCACAGACTGACTGTTTGCATATACTGATGCCCATCGTTGAGATGACTTTCGGAAATTGTATAATTGACTTGGCTTACAGTTTAAAAAGTGCATTTATGCAACAGGACAGCCCTTTCAAAAATAACTGTAAAAGGTCCAATTATTTGTAATTAGCAGTCATCACTATTGAGTTCCATTCCTGATTGCACCTCTTGACTGTGCAGCTTACATGAGACTCAGATGATTCAGTCTCTCCCAACCTTGTTTCCTCAGTCTACGGAGGAACCTTTGGGCCAAACTTTCAGAGAAGTTCTGAGTCTTTTTTTAACACTTGGAGATCCCTGCAAGCTGTGTGCTACAAGACTAACCCTTACAGGATGTAGTTGCTGGCCTGTCTGATTCAGTCTACCGTAAATCCAAGTTCATGTTCCTGAATCCAGAAAGCTGTCAGTGAGCTGGTTTCTCCCCTTCTTTGTTCTTCAAAATGTTCTTTTATTCCTTTATGGAATTATTACTGCTTTATGTTAGACATACAGAACACATGCCTTTTTCACCTCCTTAATTGAGTTTGCAGAGCTGCCCATTAATGAGGAAACAGTTTTCACTCATTATTTCAGAACTTCAGTGTTTTTTAAAGTTTCATAGTTTCTAAATCTTTGAAACAATAAGCAGCCCCACACGTTGGGTCAGGCTGAAATGTGGGCTTTATTCCAGCAGCTTTTGACTGTGCTCCCTTTTTTTTTCTAGGTACTTTATAAGTACTTTTATATTAAATGAGAATAGCTTTTTCCTTGAAACTTCTTGCAAGTAATGTGGCTATTTTGTCTCTCAAAGATCCTACAGAGAAACTAATTTATAAAATGTCTTGGTCTTTTTCAGTTGCTTGATTCTTGGTGTAAGATGCTTGAATGTGACCTGCTCTTTTAAATTCTTAGAATTAGTGCACTTTTGGTCAGAGAACAACCTTTTCTAGAACCAGGTTTTGCTCCCCTTGTGTGTTCAGAGTTCTGTAACTTTACTGATGGCTGTGTTGGGCTCTGTAGCCCTTTGAAGAATTGTACTGCTATCAACAGAACTTAGTACTACAAGTGCATTTAAATTCATAGAGTAAACAAAAAGGAGAGCTGATTTTTAAGCTGATGCTTAAATTTCACATGGGTGGAAGTTGAACTGTGATCCTTAAACTTGATTTTGAGCAGCTTCCTTTATCTAATGATTTACACACTGCTAACCAAAATATTTTTTGCTTCTTAGCATGTTCCACCTTCCCTGTTCACGGAGCCTAATGAAATTTCTCAATACTTGCCTGTAAAGGAGACTGTGTGCGAGAAGCTAGAATTCCCAGCAAAGGTGGATCCTGAGCCTACCCCTTCACCAGAAAGCACGTGCATGGAATCTAAATCAGTGTGACTTTATGTGGACTTGAAGTGGCCCCCATTCTGGAGACCACATGGTCATATGACGATTACCATTGGCATGGTTTCACTATTTGTGGAATAAAAAGAGTTCGGCTAATTTTTCTGTAGCCCTAAAATGTCGTTTCAGGCAGGTTTCACTAATGTGTTTTATTTTATTTTTTAATTTCAAACCTGCATCTGAAATTAGTAACGGACTGATAGTAAACTGGAGTCTTAATTGGCTCGGGAGAATAAACTCCCCACCCTCCCTAGTAGTTTTTGTTCTCTTTTTAGTTTAGACATTTGGTGTGTTGCCTGAACCCTCCATTACCAGTGCTCTGCATGAAGAAATTTTTGCTCCTGCTATCAAAAGGCAAATATCATTCACAGAATCAAGCCTCTATTTTTATACAGGGTTCTTCTACAAAAAGATTTTTTTTCTCTGTGGTGTGTATGGTTGAGCTTCAATTCTCCCTTAGAAAACTTGCTTGGCTCCTTGGGTGCAAGCTGACAAACCAGTGTAAGTACTTTCTCTGAATTTTAAATCCACATATCTTATAAGAGACTATTAAGTCTTTTACTCATGAATAGCTTAAAAAGTAGCAATGTGCAAAGCATTAGTGTCAGACACTACTGAAAGGTAAAAGCTACCTTGTTTAGGAGCTGCTAACTTGGAGCTAAGTGACAGGTAGAAATCAGCAAAAAGCTACACAGTGGCAAGTTTGTCAAATACCAATTTTCTCTGAGGTCAGTCAGCTCAGCCTCTCAAGGTGCCACTAACATCTGTGGGTCTTGCATGGGTTAGGTGTGCTGCTGACACAGTGCTTGGTTATGGAAATGCTTTGTACTTTTGTCTTTTTGGCAGCTATGCCATGTAGTTGGTGCCAGTATAAACTGATTATACTGCTCTGAGAATCAAACAGCTAAATTCCTGGGATTCTTAGAGAACAAAACCAAACAAAATTCCAGTTCCTAAATGGGATGAGGATTGGCAGTTTAAGAGATGCAGGGGTTTATCTAGCCTTAAAGGAACACTAATGTTCCAGGCCTGAAACTTTGTCCCGCTGTAAATCCTACTATGAACAGAAATGCATTCATTTACATTTTAATTATCCTGTTCAAACTCGGTACCATTTTGTAGCTAGAAACACTTACCCTGTATTATAGTAAACACTCCTGCTATGGCATGAGAACAAGGAAGTTAAACCGATTGGTTTAGTGCCATTACTTAGGTTGAATGGAGTACAGGAAACAAATGTTGGGTGTGGCAAAAATACCTCTGTTTAAATTGATTTACTAGTCGAAGGTGGTAGCAATAATTCTGATATGGGAAACATTTGAATGTCATCATCTTATAAACAAGCATGTATTTCTTATTGTCTCTTTGCATTTAAAATATGCAATGTAGAGTGGGCCCATTTTGATGAGATTTAATTTTTTTAAGTGCAAAACTAAAATAATTAAAATAATAGTTTTTAAGATGACAATAACATTTTAAAGAAAGCTACAGGCATCTTAATGACAGCTATTGTTGTTCTGAAGATTCACTTCATCCTTTTAGTGGGGTAGTATGGGCTGATAGATAGAGCCCGGGACTGAAAGGCAGGAATGCAAACAGTATTCTTTGCTCTGCTATTGATTCATTGGGTGACTATCAGCAAGTCACTTAACCTCTCTGTGCCTCAGTCCTCCATAGGAGTGATACATGCCTACCTCAGAGGTTTTGTGAGGATGCAAGTGGGTTATCCTGAATATACCTTCAGCCTTATGTTTGGAAAAGATTAACTTAATATCCAAAAGTATTAAGTACTTTGCTGTCATTTTTTTAAACTAGAGGTGAGAATGAGACTAGTTCTTTCAAGACTAATTAACTCCCAGACAGATATTGCCTAGGATCATTTAAGATGAGGGATGAATTATAGGCTTGTGGCCACTGGGAGGCAGAGAAGTGCTTGCACTTACTTGCTTTCTCCCTTCCCCCCACCATTCCCAAGTACTTCAGAGTATGGGAAGGAATGGATTGGTTCTCACTCAGACTTTCAGATCAGGATAAAAAGGGTGAAGCTAGTAAGGAAAGAATGTAGGTACAATAAATTTGGAAAGGGAAACATTTAGAGATGATTCAGTGAATTGGGGAAAAAGGCAAAGGAAGGAAACAATCAGGACCTATTTGCGTAGACAAGTCATTCTTAATGGTATACTGTATTCCAGGCTTACACCACTTTTCAATGTGTTAGGAATTATCAGCACTATTATGTTTAAAACATTTTGTTTTATAATTGAACTAATAATGATGAAAAGCTGAACTAATAATGATGAAAAGCGAGTTGGGAGAGTGACAGCATAAACATACTGTACCTATATTTGCTACCTAAAAATGTTATGGTTCAGGTTTGGTCAGTGGTAACACTCAGCACTGACCAAACACTGGAGTATGATGGAGAGAGAGTCACAGTCCATGCATAGTATTGAGAAGTGCTGCACTATACATTTGTTGTATTGTGGAATCTAGCCCTCCCATTACCTTAACCTTTTCTGATTGTTTGAAAGTTTTCTTGACCACACTGGACATTTGTGGCTCCATCTGTGCTGGCTCCTATGCCTTTCTGTGGAACATGCACCTCAGAGAAATCACAAGATCCTATTACAGAATTCCCTGCAAAGTAAAACACCACCTGAGTTGCTTCTTTTCTTGTCACTAACTCTGTTATACTGTGTAGATGAATACATATGAAGCAGTAAAATAAGTTGGTGTATTGGGGGGAAAAAAATCTCTGGTATAGGATTCCCAGTGGAAAGAAGCAACTACCAGTTTTATGGGCTACAGACTAGGTGGGGGCCATGTGTCTGGCTGTTTTGTGGTCAAATGTGTGTTGGTTTACACTTGTGCTTGTCATTAAATAAAACATATGCAACATTTTACAGTCTTGTTTGTCTGAGCTTTCATTAGAGAAGTAAAAAAGAATGACTCATGTTCCTTAAACTTGGGTGACAGTAGAGATGTAGTCCACATAACTACCGGTATCTGAAAAGGTCTCATTATAAACCCACTTCATACATGTAAACCAGTAGGGTTGCATTTCCCAAAATACTGGGGAATCCCCGATTTCAAGAGCAGAGACCTGAAGAACTTGTTTGGAAGCTTTCTCAACTACTATTGGAAAGTTTTTGGAGTTTTTTTTTTTTTTTTTTTTATCAGCAGAGGGCTCTGCTTTCAGAAATTTGGGAAATGCATTAGTGTGTAGACTTCAGAGCTGATGTACACTTATGGCTT